TCATAGTAGTAAATGAAATGAGAGATTGGTAGTGCAAGGAGTCAGCTTTGCATTTATTATCTAATCTTCCAAAAACCCACACAAAAAAAAACCTTCTTTCTTTTGTTTTCGAAGGTTTTCTTCACAAGAAGGTTTTTTTGATTTTCCATAGAAAATTTTGGGATCTGTTTTTTTTTTTTATCTCTTGGGTTTTGTTACTTTTCTTCTCTCCCGTGAAATTCGTTTGATTTTGTAAATCTTTTATATATTTTTATTTTTTATTTTTTAACTTCTGGGTTCAGTGAAAGTTTCCGTTTTTGGAGGCTCTCTTGATCTGTTTCAAGATCTTCTCATTTCTTCCCAAATTTCGTTACTTTTTAGGGTTTTTCTTTTATGGGCTAGAAAAAAATTCTCTTTTTTTGTGTGTGTTCGTTGCCTCCTCTTGTGCTAAATCTCCGAACCAAATTGAGATTAATGCATTTTCCTCTGTGGAAACAAATTCACCACTGTGCTGCTCTGATCTTGGATAAGAGTAAGAGCAGAAGAAGAGATGGCTCTGATTCACCAATCGATGTTCGAAGAAAAGCTTCCATGCTTCGAAGATTGTACGAAGATAAGCTTAGAGAAGCTCTTGAAGAAGCATCTGAGAATGGGTCACTCTTCAAATCTCAAGATATTGACAAAGAGAATCAACAAGATGAAACCTTGGGTCGATCTAGATCCTTGGCTAGGCTTAACGCTCAACGCGAGTTCTTACGCGCAACCGCTTTAGCCGCTGAACGCACTTTCGAGTCTGAAGACGCCATCCCTGAGCTCCTTGAAGCTTTCAACAAGTTTTTAACAATGTACCCAAAGTACGAGACTTCTGAGAAAGTTGATCAGTTGAGATCTAATGAGTATGCTCACTTGTTAGATTCAAAGGTATGTCTTGATTACTGTGGTTTTGGGCTTTTTTCGTATGTTCAGACTCTGCATTATTGGGATTCTTGTACGTTTAGTCTCTCTGAGATTACTGCCAATTTGAGTAACCATGCGCTTTACGGTGGTGCTGAGAGTGGGACTGTGGAACATGATCTCAAGACTAGGATAATGGATTATCTGAATATCCCTGAGAGTGAGTATGGTCTTGTTTTCACTGTAAGCAGAGGCTCTGCGTTTAGGTTGCTTGCGGAATCTTACCCTTTCCATACGAATAAGCGGCTTTTGACAATGTTCGATCATGAGAGTCAGTCTGTGAATTGGATGGCTCAAACCGCGCGGGAGAAAGGTGCGAAAGCTTATAACGCTTGGTTTAAATGGCCAACTTTGAAGCTGTGTTCAACGGATTTGAAGAAGCGTTTGTCTTATAAGAAGAGGAAGAAAAAAGATTCCGCGGTTGGGTTGTTTGTATTTCCTGCGCAGTCTAGGGTTACGGGTTCTAAGTATTCTTACCAGTGGATGGCTTTGGCTCAGCAGAACAACTGGCATGTGTTGCTTGATGCTGGTTCTTTAGGTCCCAAAGATATGGATTCGCTTGGGTTATCATTGTTTCGACCAGAGTTTATCATCACCTCGTTCTACAAGGTATTTGGCCATGATCCTTCAGGTTTTGGTTGCCTCTTGATTAAGAAGTCGGTGATGGGTAATCTTCAGAGCCAGTCTGGGAAAACGGGATCAGGAATAGTGAAGATCACACCTCAATATCCGTTATATCTTAGTGATTCGATAGATGGTTTGGACGGATTGGTTGGTCTTGAAGATCATGACGTTGGTACAAATGGTTACAAAGCTGCCACCACGGAAGCTGCTCGTAAAGGACCTCAGATGCCGGTATTCTCTGGTGCATACACTTCAGCTCAAGTGAGAGATGTGTTTGAGACAGAGCTTCTAGAAGATAGTATCTCTGATAGAGATGGGACTAGTAGTACCATATTTGAAGAAAATGAAAGCATTTCGGTTGGAGAACTGATGAAAAGCCCAGCTTTCAGCGAAGATGAGTCATCCGATAATTCGTTTTGGATCGATTTGGGTCAAAGTCCACTTGGATCTGACCGTGCGGGTCACATGAACCACCATAAAATTGCCTCTCCATTGCCACCATTTTGGTTTACCAGCAAACGGGAATCACCAAAACCGGTAGCAAAGAGTTACAGCAGTCCTATGTATGATGGTAAAGATGTCCTCTCGTTTGATGCTGCAATTATGTCAGTTACTCAGGAGACAAACTCAACGCCATCGCGGAATCTGAGGAACTCTAATAAGCTTCAAATTCAAGAGATACAGGAAGAAAACAGTGGTAACAATGTGTTTCACGCAGGATCTGGTTTTGGATCAAATGGCTCAAGCTCAAAGATTTCCTCAGATATGAAAGACAATGCAATTAGACGAGAAACAGAAGGCGAGTTTAGGTTATTGGGAAGAAGGGGTACTGGTGGGAGGCTTATGGGTGTGGAAGATGAACAACCAAGCAGAGGGACACGGGTTTCGTTTAACATGGACCGTGTCAGTCATAGTCTTGACCAAGGTGAAGCTTCTCTGGCCAGTGTATATGACGAAAGTGATGGTGAAAACCCGAATGAAGATGATTGGGACAGAAGGGAACCCGAGATTGTTTGCAGCCATATCGATCATGTGAATATGTTAGGTCTTAATAAAACCACAACTAGACTCAGATTTCTGATTAACTGGCTTGTTATCTCTTTGCTACAACTGAAAGTACCTGAAGGAGGCGGTGACGGTAGCAGCAGATACATGAATCTTGTGCAGATTTATGGTCCAAAGATAAAGTACGAAAGAGGAGCAGCGGTTGCTTTCAATGTGAAAGACAAAAGCAAAGGGTTTGTAAGTCCAGAGGTTGTTCTGAAACTGGCTGAGAGAGAAGGTGTATCTCTTGGTATTGGTATCTTGAGTCACATACGCATAATGGATATCCCAAGAAATCATCGTGGGGGCACTAGGATCAAGGAAGATAGCTCGTTGCATCTGCAGAGAGAAGCTGGTAAGCGCGGTGCAAAAAATGGGTTTGTGAGATTCGAGGTTGTCACAGCTTCTCTCAGCTTTCTGACAAACTTTGAAGATGTTTACAAGCTATGGGCTTTTGTAGCCAAGTTTTTAAACCCCGGTTTCAGCAGAGAAGGCTCGCTCCCGACTGTAATTGAAGAAGAAGCAGAAGATTCAGAGACGTGATGGGGAAAACAAAAGCCTGAAACTTCTTGAAAACGACTCAAAGAGAGGCTTGACCGCTGCATCAAGAATTCGCCTTTTTTGATAACGCCTGAGCCACTAACATCCTAGAGCTCGGTTGCGCTTCTCGGAATGGGAGGAGGGTTAAAGTAAAACTGTGAATTGAGATTTGCTATATAGTTTTTAGTTTTTGCTCTGTTTCAATTGTCAGGAGTATAAGTTGGAGGACAATTCTTGTAAACTGGAAGGGAGAACATGTTTGGCCAAGATTCCACTTTTGGAGAAGAGAACACAGTTATAGCATTTGCTCTCACACTAAACCGAATCTGTATAGGGCTTTAGGTACATATAATAACTCTTAACCAATGTTGCACAACTTAAAGCCACATGATTATTAACTTGGAAAAACAAAAAGGAATTTAATGTTTTTGCGTTCTAAGCTTATCAAGATGTTGATGTTATTAATTTGTGGACATAGGCATGTTTGTGTAAATTGCTCACTCTAGAATATGCTTTTGTTTGTACAAAATCTTGAATGTGAATTTACTAATTAGAATTGTCAATGCTTAAGCTGCTTTAGAACATCTCGTATTTTGCTTCTTGCCTTGCCCTTTATTTAGCTTTCGCAAACAACATTTGATTCGAGAACCATTCAATGTCCATTTTCTTGCATTTTTAACAATAAAACATCTTTTTGACTACTTAATGTTTCAGATTGATGGTAGAATCATTGTTTTTTTTTTTGTTTTATGATTTCTCTGATAAAACTGTCACCAATCTGTATCATGTTAAGGATACGGTGAATATCATGTTTAATGTCACAATATTCAGTTC